GGCCAGCCTGGGCTACAAAGTGAGCTCAAGGCCAGCCTGAACTGCATAGTGAGGCCCTGTCTCAAAAAGAAAGGAAGAGAGAGAGAGAAAGAAAAGAGAAGGAGGGAGGGAGGGAGGGAAGGAAGGAAGGAAGGAAAGAAAGAAAAGAAAAAAGAAACGAGGCTGGCACATGCCTGTAATCCCAGCATTAGGGAGGCTGATGCAGGAGGATCATTGTGAATTCGAGACCAGCCTGGGCTACAAAGTAAGCTCAAGGCCAGCCTGACCTGCATAGTGAGACCCTGTCTCAAAAAGATGACAGAAGAAAAAAAAAAAGGAAAGAAGGCATCCCTGTCTCCCTCCTGCTCTGTGCCCAATCTAAGGCACCTCCTAGACTTAACTAGTGCCAGCAGTGGCAAACAGGAGGTAAACTGAAGGTACAAGGAAATGGCCAGAGCCGGTTAATCCACTCTTACCATGCACCTGGGCCCGCTTCCTCATGATCCTATGCCCCCTGGGCTACAGGCTTTCCTTGTTCAGAACCTCAGCATATCTTTGACTTAGCCTATTGGGCCTGGCAAGATGTTCTGGAGAGAAATAATGACAAGAGATAGGCAGTCTGCTGGGGACTGAGGCCATGGTTATCCCTCAGTACCTGTTTCTGTTTGCTGTTGAAGAATCTGTTGGAAGTTAGCCAGTGAGGTGACATCTTTTAATGAGGCATCTGCTTCTCTACTGAAAAGAAAATCATCAGTGAACAGTATATTGTGTACATATTGCAGGATTGTGACTTGGGAAAATTTTTAAAAGATCAAGTCATGGGAGAGCACTTGTCCAAAAAAATGAGGGCTGGGCTGGGAATATAGCTCAGCGGTACAGCGCCTGCCTGGCAAGTACAAGGTCCTGAGTTTGAATCCTGGTACAAAAAAAAAGAGGACTGTCTTTTAATGCAAATAAAGTCTGACCATAAGGTAATTCTGGCCATTTTCCCTCTCTCTTATAGTACAACTGTGTGTATAAAATAGTATCACGATCAATCCTCCCTCTGCATTCTACTTCATCTGTAGGGTGTAGGCAGGCCATGTACGGGTGCAGAAGAATATTAAACTTTTCTTTCTCAATACATCAGTGTCGAACAAATTCTAGTGCTTAAGAAGATAGTCCAAAGGAATAAAAGATCTGGGCGTGGTGACACACACCTGTAATCCCAGCACTCAGGCAGCTGAGGCAGAAGGATTGTTGGAAGTTTGAGGCCAGCCTGAACTGCATAGTGAGACTCTGTCTCAAAAAGACAAAGGAATAAAAGAATTTGATGTTGAGTTTCCCAAAAACAACAGGGGAAAACTAGGTGTCCCTTTTCATTCCTGCTTGGTTTTTATGTGCCCTCAAGGCTTCCCCAAGGTGACCTGCTTCAGAGTAGGTGGCTGCTATCTGGAGAGTGCCCAGAAGATGGGTCGGGCTGGACTATCCATTACTGACGCACGCCCCTGCCTTCTCTAGAAACTCAAATTCCTAACTCCAAAGTGTATTTCCAAAAACAGGTATAAGCTACATCTGATTCCCACTGTAACAGCCATGTCTAAAGAAGGAAGCATTGCTAGCAAAATCAAACCATGATCAAGAGACCCGAAGAGCTGCTTTCCAAGTCTTTGGGGGAGGGGGCGCAGGTTGGAAGTGGTTGGAGCACCTCCCAGGCTGCAAAAGAGGTCACCTCTAGATATGGATAGAGGCAAGTAATGGCTTAGAAAAATCTTCCCCTGGGCCCTAAAGCAAAGAAGTCAGTGAGATGTGTGTTATCTGCCTAGTCACCTAGGCAGTCTCCCTTAGCAGTAAGACAAGGTTACACTTTATTCAGAACCCACTGTTCAGTTTCTACGGCACTATGTCTGTAATGTACTTATGGAACCCGCAAGTTAAAACCTGTACTCATTGTCTGGCAGCCACAGCTTACAAGTTAGCAAAAGTACTTCATACTACTTCATACTACATACATAAACGATGACCACCAGGCTTAGGCGGGGGAGGGCCAGGAGGCCCGGGCCTTGAGAGTGGGAGGGGGTGGGATAAAGGGTAGTATGAGAATTCTGAACTGAATATGTCCTGTTCCCTGAAGTATAATGCTTAGGAAATAGCTCCTCCTGGTGTCACCCAGAAGTTGGTCCTTTGCACTGGGTCTCAGGTTTTGATTTCCCAGACTCAGAAAGAGTGCATAGAACACAGGAGTTGCGGGGGGATTGCCTTCATGTGTGTTGTCCTAGATGGGCAAAATCCCGATGTCTCATCTTACTCAGAGACAGGGTATTTGTTGCTTGTCTAAGATGACTTCCTGTCTTCAGCATTAACAAGTGCTCATTTTCTATGGGCTCAGTTTGAAAATTCTTAGTTGTTAAATAGGAGGGAAAGATTGAGACAGATTGGAACTAAAACCTTTTCAGAGTCTTTTACTCTGTGATCTTTAGAAGAAACATGCTTCGAATAAAAGGGGACAAAGTACAGAGTGACAAAAGAATCCGAGACGAGATCAGAGAACAGAAAGTCTTCTCATGCTCACAGTGAGTTCCTGAGACAGTTTGCCCAGGAGTCCTCACTGTCAGCCTAGAAAGTCAAGACTGAGAAGTCTCAAGAGCTAAGATTCCTTCCTCAGCAGTGGAAGGTTAGAGCAGAGAGGAAACTGAGGCAGAATAGTGACTGTGAGCATGGAGAGGGGATCAGGCCAGAGTATCAGTGAATCCTGTCCTTCCAGATTTAAGGTCGGCAGCCATACTGCTGATAATGGCTGAGGGGTCCTGAATTTATAAAGACATTTACATTTCATAAACTAGAAAAAAGTTTTTAAAAAACATTTTATAGCATTTTACAAATTCACATTTTGAAAACAATTTAAATTTACCATCATTTGACAAAAAACGCATTAAAAAGACAAACGTAAGTGGTGGGACATGATAGCACATGCCTGTAATCTTAGCACTTGAGAGGCTGAGGCAGGAGGAATGCCTCAAGCTCAGGGCCAACCTCAGCTACATAGTGAGTTCAGGAACAGTCTAAACTACATAGTGAGACCCTGTCTCTAAAAAAAAAAAAGACAAGTCTAAAAGGCCAAGACATAAGCAACTGGCAGACAAGAATGACGATTTCTGATTACCTCAATGAGTCAGAATCCATGAGACAAAAGCAAACTCTTCTAACAGTGATCTTGGTGGAACACCCAAAATGATATAGAGTGAAAATAAACTCCTAGCCTGCTGGATGTCAAATATGCCAAGATCCCCAAAGGCACAGAATGAATTCTAAAGAACAACGGGGGTTAAGAGTAGGAAAATTTTGTGGGGGAGAGGACTAGCTCCTGAAAGACAGGAGGGGTCCTGAATGAGTTGCCCACCTTAACACATTTCGAGGATTTAAAACACAAAACTGTTGCAGCTGCTGAAAACATTTTGGTGCAGTTTGTGTTTGGATGTTTTAGGAGGACAAGAGACCCAATCCTGGTAGTCTAAGAGTCACAGGTGAAGGAACTGGGGGCTCCTGGCAGTGCAGTGAGCCAGCAGGTTCTGGAATGTCGGTTTCCTGTATCATTAGCAGCATTGGTGGTAATAAAAGCCAGCTGTAACACTGAGATGTCCCGTTAATCTGCAGACACGCTTGGGAGTTCTGCTCTTTCCAGGGTTGTGCTGGGCATTAGCAAAGGTAAATTAAATCTCAAGAAGCGGAAAAGCCAATAACGTGTGTCAGTTCACGTTAGGAACTGGATACAAGACAGAGACGTAGTCTGGGATGGCTAGGAGAGCCTACCTGGAGGGACAGAGACTGACAGCTTAAGCCCCTAGGATGGGTAAATTGGGGTGGGGAAGGGAAGAGGGAGGGGAGGGGAGGGAGGGGAGGCTGGGCGTGGTGGGGCACACCTGTAATCCCAGCAGTTAGGAGGCTGAGTCAGGAGGATCATTTCAAGTTTGAGACCAGCCTGGGCTACAAAGTGAGCTCAAGGCCAGCCTGAACTGCATAGTGAGACCCTTCTCAAAAAGAAAAAAAAAAAGAAAGGATTCCAAATAATTTCAGTGATACCAGAGATTTACTTTACTTAGTTAAGACCTTTTACTTATAACCAGCGTAGACTAAAAGTAACAGTTTCATAACCTTTTGTCTTAAAGAGTCAGTTCTGTGTTGCCCAGACTCTGACCCCAAGCTCCTGGGTTCAAACAAGCCTCCTCCCTCAGCCTCCCAAGCCGCTGGAGCTACAAGCACATGTCAGTGCACTTGCCATAACCTCCAGTTTTACCTGAAATGATGAGGATAGAAACACTTAGAGAAAGAGACAGCTGCTTGACCTGATACATTAATAGGGTCTACTCGTCACGTAGGACAGTGGCGGCGAACCTATGGCACACAGCCACAGTGGGCACACAAAGCCCCTCTGGGCACATGAGCCAGGTCACGCGAGTACCCCCCAGCAGCCACACATTCAGGTTTAATTGCAGTGTTGGCACTTTGTGATAAATAAATCGGTTGCAGTTTGGGCCCTTGTCTCTAAAAGGTTTGCCACTGATTTAGGATCTTGTCAGTTGTACTCCTGTATGCATTCTGATTGCAGCCTAGCTTTAGGTAGCATTCTGTTGGCATGTGTGGTGGCATCTGCTTTTTTTGGGGGGGTGTTGTTATTGTTTCTTTTTATTTGTTGACATAGGGTGTCACTATGTCACCCTAGTAGTTTTGGTTTTGTTTTGTTTTGGTACATTTTAGATACACATGGTGATTCACTATGTAGTTTAGCCTAGCCTTGAACTGTGTAGTCCAAGCTGGCTTTAAACTTGCTGTGATCTACCTGCTTCAGCTTTGCAAGCACGCGGGTTACTGGTACATGCCACTGTGCCTGGCAGTGCTTTTGTTTTCGTTTTTGAGCCCTGCTAGGGATGTATCCTACTAATCATCTTCAGACTACTTTGTTGACTTAATTAGAAGCTAAGTAATCACTGTAGTTGAGCAAAAGGCTAGAACTCTGTGTGACTGTGACCTCATCTTATTTCCAGGTGATACTGTGGAATCTGCAGAAGGCCCGGCCTCTCTGGATCACACATCTGCAGGAGGATGAGACAGAAGAAATGGAAGGCCCTCAGTCCCCCGGCCAGCTCTTAAACCCTGCCCTCGCCCACTCTGTCTCTGTGGCTTCATGTGGCAACGTTTTCAGTTGTGGCGCAGAGGACGGTAAGGTGCGAGTCTTCAGGGTGACAGGAGTGAAGTGTGAACAAGCACTGGGATTTAAGGGCCACGCTCTGGGGGTGTCCCAGGTGTGCTTTCTGCCGGAATCGTATTTGCTGCTCACTGGAGGGAATGACGCGAAGATAATGCTGTGGGATGCGAGCTGTGGAGTTGAGAAAAACCAGAAGAGTCCTGCTAAACAGAGCCACAGGAAGAAAACGAAGAGGGCAGCTAGCGCCAAGCAGGGTGGGGGCAGGAACACCGCAGCAGCGGACGGGGAGGAACACGGCAAGATGGCGCCCAAGGTGAGCATCGAGCACGGAGACAAGGTGAACTGGCTCGTGGGCGCAAGACTAAAGGGGCAGCAGAACATACTGGTAGCTGACCAGACTAGCTGTATATCTGTATATCCCTTAAGTGAATTTGACACCCAATAAAAACATTTGAAGAAACGTGGTGAAACTTACGTTCAGTCTTTAAAAACGCTGCCTCATTTAAACTGTCTGTGTAGATAATCATGCCATTCCATTGTGTATGCTTTAAGTGGTCTGAACAGAAGATGGTAATTGGGTTACACTCCATGTAGTTAACGGCATTAAAATTTGGAGAACGAGAACGAATATGTATTGAGTACTGACTGCGTACCAGCCAGTTTACATGTATTTCATTTCTTATTGCACATCAGTGAAATGGGCAACTTCCCCCATTTTATTGGCACAGGAATCAAAACCAGAGCTGTTAAGTAACTTGAGAACCCGGGAACACTGAGGGCGGTTACTTGCCTGAAAAGGACTTTGATTGTGTTGTTACGCCTCCTGCCTGGGGACACCCACGTCCTGACCCAAATGTGGTCACATTACAGCAGTTCTTCTGGATCCACAATGTCATGAGGCGCCTAAGCAGGTTGTAAGAGGAAATCTTGTAAGGTCCAAAGGCTGTGCTCACAATCACCTATTTCTGTGTCTGTAAGAAAAGGATTCCAGGGTCAAGGCACTTTAGAATATTATGCAGCAATTCAGGCCACCGCTGGTGGAGCCAGGATAAACTGAAGCCATAAATAAGCAGTTTTTTTAAGCTGGGTGTGGCGGTGCACACCTGTAATCCCAGCACTTGGGAGGCTAAAGCAGGAGGATCATTGCAAGTTTGAGGCCAGCCTGGGCTACAAAGAGTTCAAGGCCAGCCTGAACTACCTAGTGAGACCTTGTCTCAAAAAGACAAAAAAAAAAAAAAGAAGGAAAAAAGAAAAAGCAGAGTTTAAGCCAAGTTTTATTTTATTTTGGTACCAGGAATCGAACTCAGGACCTTGCGCTTGCCAGGCAGGTGCTTTTGCCGCTGAGCTACATCCCCGGCCCCATAAGCCAAGTTTTAGTCAGGATTCATTGTAAGTGATGGAAGCCACATTACAATTGGTTTAACTCTTCAGAGGTTGTGGTTGCTCTGAGAGATGCAACAGACTCTTCTTACCTATTGTTAAGGCATAAAACAGCCAGGCATGATGGCTCACACCTATCATCTTAACACTTAGGAGGCTGAGGCAAGAGGATTGCCATGAGTCTGAACTTTATAGTACAACCCTATCTCAATACAACAAAAACCACAAAAGAAAGAAAGTGAAGGGGTTGAATTAGACATCCTTCAGGTGTCTTCTGTGCTGTCTTACAGAGTGAAAACCGCTATCACAAAACTGTACTCATTTACTTATGTAATTATTGTGATATATTGCTTCTCGGCCTTTTGGCTAAGATCAAGTGTAATTACTGTGATATGCAGGAGAATTTCAGAAAGTAATAAACATTATAGGCAACTTCTTAAGGTTTTAGGAGAATCTCTTTTTTGTGGGTATACCGGGAATCAAACTCAGGACCTTGTGCTTGCCGGGCAGGCACTGTGCCACTGAGCTATATCGCCAGCCCCTAGGAGAAGCTTTTGAAAAATTACCCAATTTTAACTATTTAGCCCAAGAGCAGACACCCACTCATACCTCCTAAGCAAAAGGAGAAATTTACCTTTTTTTTTTGGTATTGGGAATTGAACTCAGGACCTTGCGCTTGCCAGTCAGACGCTGTGCCGCTAAGCTATCTCCCTAGTCCCTGAGAAATTTACTATGAGGACAAGGCAGGGACAGGGAGGATAATTCTCTCAACCTAGAGGTGAAATGTAGCTCCGCTTCACTTGGGTCTCTAACCAGGGAAAACATTAAGAACCAAGGGGGAAGCCAGACATACACAAGGCCTACACTTGTAATCTCTGCACTTGGGAGGCTGAGGCAGGAGGATTGCCAAGAGTTCAAGGCCAGCCTGAACTACACAGAGTCTCTGTCTCCGAAATTTAAAAAAAAAAAAAAGGTGAGTGCACAGCAAAAGAAAGCACTAACAGAGTGAAGACAACCCACAGAATGGAAAACATTTTTTACCAGCTACTCTTTAAAGGACTAACATCTAGGGCTGGGAATGTGGCTCAGCGCCACAAGCACCTGCCTAGCAATTGCAAAGTCCTGAGTTCAATTCCCAGTACCAAAAAAAAAAAAAAAAAAAAAGGACTAACATCTAGAATACATAAAGAACTGAAAAAATATGAGACCCCTGTCAAATTTAAAAGACCAATCCAAAGATGAGCATCTGGGCCAGGGATATAGCTCAACAGCACAGTGCCTGCCTGGCAAGTGCAAGGTCCTGAGTTCAACTTTCAGCACAAAAAAAAAAAAAAAAAAAAAAAAAAATGAGCATCTGAAACAAATAGACATGTCTCAGATTTTTTTTTTTTTTTTGGTCTTTTTGAGACAGGGTTTCACTATGCCTTTCAGGCCTAGCTCACTTTGTAGCCCAGGCTGGTCTTGAACTTGCAACGATCCTCCTTTCTGAGCCTCCTGAGTGCTGGGATTACAGGCTGGGATTACAGGCATGCGCCACCATGCCGGGCTACATTTCTCAGATGAAAAAGTAAGGCCAGGTGGGTGGCACGTTCCTGTAATCCTAGCACTCACGAGGCTGTGGCAGGAGGATCACTGCAACTTCGAGGCCATCCTTGAACAAGTGAGTTCAAGCCATCCCAAACTGCATAGCAAAACCCTGTCTCAAAAAAAAAAAGTTCAAACAGCAAACAAATACATGAAAAAATGTTCAACATCTCTTGAGAAATGCAAATTAGAACAACACTGAGATTCCACCTCACCCCAGAAAGAGTGGCTATTATTATCAAGAAATCAACCAAGAACAAATGCTGGAGGGGTTGTGGGGAAAAAGGAACCCTTCTCCACTGTTGGTGAGAGTGTAGACTGATGCAACTCTTGTGGAAATCAGTGTGGAGATTCCTCAAAAAACTAAAGCCAGATGTTCCCCATTTGACCCAGTTGTGTCCCTTCTAGGAATCTTCTCAAAAGAGTTAAAGGCATCAAACAACAGCAATATATGCACACCCACATTTGTAGTAGCACAATTTATAATAGCTAAATCTTGGACACAGCCCATGTGGCAATCAACAGGTGAATGGATAAATATGGTATTTATATACAATGGAGTACTACTCTGCCATAAAGATAAATTTGAGGCATTTTCAGGTAAATGGATGCACCTTGAGACCATAACTTTAAGTGAAATAAATTAGATACAGGTTTAACTATTGCATTGTTTCTCTTGTGTGAGAAATCCAAAGGAAAAATAAGGAGCAAAAAAAAGGAGGACAGATAGCAGGAAGTAGGAAGAATGTTCAAATGGGAAGGGGAACAAGGTGGGGGAGATGGAAGGGAAAATGGAAACAAAACTTTTATAAATTGGGAGAGGAAGAAGCGTTGAGGGGAAGGAAGGGAAATGGGGAAAAAAGAATTAAGATATATTGTGTATAGGTACAAATACCTATGATGAATGTGATCATTATGCATGGCAAATATGTACTAATCAAAACAAAACAAAACATAAAACCCCACCGGGCATGGTAGCACACACCTGTAATCCCAGCACTTGGGAGGCTGAGGCAGGAAGATCGTTGGGAGTTCGAGGCCATCCTGGGCTACAAAGTGAGCTCAAGGCCAGCCTGAGCTGCATAGCGAGACCCTGTCTCAAAAAGACAAAAACAAAACAAAAAAACCCAAGGGGCGTAGCTTGGTGTAGAGCACTAGCATGTGTGAGGTCCTGAGCTCTATTCCTAGTACCACAAGAAAACAAAACAAGGCAGCCTGTGAGGGCAACCTGACTGTGACATCTGTCACCCCATTGATCAGAGTTGAGGTGGCCGATCTGGCCGGCTAGGCAGTGTCCCTTCCTCTCGCATGTCTCCATGTGTGTCCCTCCCAACACTGTGTGCTTGGTGGAGGAGGTCGACGCTCCCTGAGAGAGGAGGCCCTTTCTGTCCAGGTACAGGAGCCGCCGGCTGCGCTGCCGGAACCTCCACACAAGCTCTCGGGAGCCAGGCAGGTGTACTTCCGCCTCTGTCCTCATGGTCATCTGGCTCTGTCTCTGGCAACTTTTGTGCAAAACATGGCATTTCAGGGCCACATCAACCTATTTCAATGCTGCAAATGAAGCAAACAGTCCAGGTCCAGGTACCAAGTCCCCAAAGATAATCGGACTGGCCCCTCTTAGCTACCCACTCCCATCCAGTCGGCTCTCGTCACACACTGAGCATCACCTAGGGGGCCACCCCCTTGGGTGGGGACGTGGTTCTCAGAGAATCTTGGCCCTAGCAGTCAGCCAGCACTCAGGACAAATGGGAATCTCGTGGACCAAAAGGGCGGCCCCACAGATCTGCAGCCCACCGCTGACATCTGGTTAGTAACTGTATGTTGTGGAGAGTGTCGGCTATCATGTCCCAGTCTGACTCAGTTTACAAGCAAGCAACAGGCCCACAGTAGTTACAGAACCTGAGGAGACGTCTGGAAGCAGAAGAAAGCGCCCAGGTACCATTCTCAATAGTCCAGAGGTTAGCAGGCCGCTCAGGTGACAAATAGGCATGTCCGTGGTCCCCCCTCACAGGTGGGTTTCCAATGGCCCCCATCTTGAGCACACTGAAGAATGCACACAAAGCTAACCAGGTTGTAATCACAGGAACCTGTAGATAAATACTGCCTTTGGTGAAAGGATCTTTGTGGGGCAGTTAAATTATGAATCTTGACACATTGTTAACCATAATTCTGACATTTGTATGCTTATTTTTCTATTTTTATTAGAGTATAAGACGCCTGAGGGTAAGGACTGTTTCACTTCACAGCACACACTTCGGTCTATCCTGGACCCTCAACCAGCTCAGACAATGCTTATTACATGCACTAAGTGGGGAGGGGTGAAATACAAAAAGATGTAGGAGGTAGAGTCAGCCTGAAGGGAGCCCATGGCAGGACCTCCAGGCAACCAGAACAAACTTTGTGTTTCAGATTTTGGGGAGGAGACAGGGGTTTGGGATAGGATCTTGCTATGCAGTTTAGGCTGGCTTTGAACACCCTGGGTAGCCCAGGCTGGTTTCAAACTCACAATGATACTTCTGCCTCAGCCTCCTGAATTAAATCCCACCATCAGCTGGGATTACAGGCCTGCACCACTACACTCAGCTAAAAATATTTTTTTTAAATAAATGGTGGGTATAGCCAGGCATGGTGGCACACACCTGAAATCCCAGCACTCTGGAGGCTGAGGCAGGAGGATCGTTGTGAGTTCGAGACCAGCCTGGGCTACAAAGTGAGCTCAAGGCCAGTCAGAACTGCATAGTGAGACCCTGTCTCAAAAAGACAAAATAAATACATAAATAAACAGATTAAGCCAGGTGTGATGGCGCATGTCTGTAATCCTAGCACTCGGGAGGCTGAGGCAGGAGGATAGTTGCGAGTTTGAGACCAGCCTGGGCTACAAAGTGAGCTCAAGGCCAGCCTGGACTGCATAGCAAGACCCTGTCTCAAAAAAAGACAAAACAAAACAACAACAACAACAAAAAGATTACATAAACCAAGTGATGGATATAATTAAAGTTTTATATTTGAGTCATTTCTCTGACCAAGATAATATAAGCTTGCCAAAAGCAAAAGAACCTGCTCCAAAGCAGCTGTGTCAAACCCATGACAGGAGAGGCAACTTAGTCTTGGCAAAACACCACCAGCCATCATAGTAAATTAGTGTCCATTTAATATTGTTAGCTGTAATTTAGTTTGCATTAAATAATGTAGATTTATTTGGGTTATATTGCTTAAGAGTTACGTGCCTAGTGTTGAATTTGGTTATATTTAACAAACATTATACTAAAAGGTAATTTTAACGTAATAATTCTTTTTAATCTTTTTGAAACAGGGTCTCGCTATGCAGTTCAGGCTAGCCTTCACTTTGTAGCCCAGGCTGGTCTTGAACTTGCAATGCTCCTCCTGTCTCAGCTTGCCCAGTGCTGAGATTATAGGCGTTGCACCATCACACCCAGCTAATTTTTTTTTTTTTGAGACAGGGTCTGGCTACATAGTTCAGGGCGACCTTGAACTCACTAAGTAGCCCAGGTTGGCCTCCAACTCTCTAAGATATTCCTCCCTCAATTTCCTGAGGTCTAGGATTACAGGCATGCACCACCACATCCAGCTAGCATAATAATTTATTAATAATTTATTAATAATTAATAAGCTTAATTTTTTTTTTTTCTTTTAAAAGTGCAGTGCTCAACCTTGAGTTCAGAGTGTCCTGGAAATCCTGCTGAGCAGCCATTAGCACCTCCGGGTGAGACCAGCCGGGTTAATGGCATTGCTGGGCAATGTGGGAGTTGCAAGGTTAGACCCCATCGGTTTTTGCAAGAAGGAGCGATCCTGTTGTAATGTGGAGGAGCTTTAGCGTAAATCCTAAAGCAGCCAGGGGGCTGGGGATATAGCTCGGTGGCACAGCGCAAGATCCTAGGTTTGATTCCCAGTACCAAAAACAAAAAACAAAACAAAACAAAACAAAACAGGTTGCTTTAGTACTAAAGCAGCCAGGTAGGAAAACTAATCACATTTTTGGCAGGAGACATCCGCATTGTGAAGGACGCCCAATAATCAGGTGGCTCCGGATGCCATAAATGCAGGCAGGGGTGGAGGGTGAGCAGTTCTGATTACCCAGACCCACATAATCTGCCCCAACGGGCCCCAAGTGGCACAGGGCGTCACTACCCCCAGCTCTCCAGAGTGGCACATGGCTTCTGATGACGAGTCAGGACTCAGGCGCTGTGACGCTGCAGAGACGGGGCAGTTTGGAGTCTCTTACCAGTAAGGTTGGGCACACGAGGCAGACGCTTCTCTCTCTCCCTTTTCCCTTACATTTCCTACCTTGAACTTGTCCCCTGGTTTTCTAGGTGGTGTCACTGCTCCTCTTCATGAAGCTTTACTTTTTGAGCCCCTGGGATTTCCGGTCCTTCCTCTGCCCACAAGGTTCTGTAGAGGTTCAGCTCCCCCTAGCGAAACAAGCCACAGCTTTGCCAGCTGCAAACGAATCCATTTACTTAAATTACTGCCTGAACTTTTTTCTTTTCTAGGTGAGCTGGATAATTATATGTCTACCAACAAGGTTTCTTTTTGGCTAATAAGACACTTTTGGCTGAGCATGGTGGCACACACCTCTCATCACAGGGACACTTGGGAGGCTGAGGTAGCAGGATCACTTGAGTTCAGTAGTTGGAGACCAGGCTGGGCAACATAGCAAAACCTCACCTTAAAAAAAAAGCAAAATAGGGGCTGGGGATTTAGCTCAGTGGCAAAGCGCCTGCCTGGCAAGTGCAAGGTCATGAGTTCAGTTCCTGGTACCGGAGAAAAACCAAAAAAAAAAAAAAAAAAAAAGCAAAATAGGGGCTGGGGGTTTAGCTCAGCGGCACAGCGCCTGCCTGGCAAGCGCAAGGTCGTAAGTTCGATTCCTGGTACCAGAAAAATACAACAACAACAAAAAGCAAACCTATTCATGGCTCCAAATAACCATTCATTATTTTTTTTTTTACTTGCATAATAAGAGAAAACCAATTTTAATTCATCAGATTAGAAGCATAACAACAATAATATTAATAATAGAGTACAAATCGGGCGTGGTGGTGCATGCCTGGAATCCCAGCACTTGGAAGGCTGAGGCAGGAGGATTGCTGCGAGTTTGAGACCAGCCTGGGCTACAAAGTGAGCTCAAGGTCAGCATGAATTGCATAGTGAGACCCTGTCTCTCTCTCTCTCTCTTTTTTGACCCTGTCTCAAAAAGACAAAAAAAAAGAAAAGAGAGAGTACATTTTTTTTCTTTGCATTGCTGGGGATTGAACCCAGCCCGGACAACTTACTATTTTTATATCCAAATTTTTTTTTGTCTTTTTTGAGACAGGGTCTCGTTATGCAGTTCAGGCTGGTCTTGAGCTCACTTTGTAGCCCAGGCTGATCTCAGACTCCCAATGATCCTCCTGCCTCAGCCTCCCAAGTGCTGGGATAACAGGTATGCACCACCCTGCCTGGAAGATTTTTGTTTTTTTGCAGACCTGGTGATTGATAATTCTAGGACCTTCACTCTGAGCTACATCCCCAGCCCTTTTTAATTTTTTATTTTGAGGTGGATCTGACTAAACCAGTAAAACTCCCACACTGGTCTGGAATTTGTGATCCTCCTGCCTCAGCCTCCCAGAATGTTGAGGTTACAGGTGCATAATACCACCCCTGTCTTGGCTTGGCTTTGAGAAAGGATCTTGCTATGTTGCCTAAACTGGCCCCGGGTTCTTGGGTTTAGGTGACTCTCCTGCTTCAGCCTCTTGAATACATGGGACTACAGGCTCAAACCACCACCCCCAGCAAGAATACTGTTTTGTCTATTTTTGTATTCAGTTCCAACCCTAATATTAGAAACTCTCAACAAAATACTTACTAGTTTGTAGTGATTGTTTTTGGGTTTTTTTGTTTGTTTGTTTGTTTGTTATTTGTTTTTCTTCCGGTACTAGGAATCAAACTTGCGACCTTGCACTTGCCAGGCAGGCGCTTTGCCGCTCAGCTAAATCTCCAGCCCCTGTAGTGATTGTTAATAAGACTGTTAGCATTAAAATCATAATCATTATAAAAGATGTGGTGAGCTCTTTAAACCTACTTTAGATTGTAATTGAATAATGAAGCTGTTAAAACGTAAGAACAACGTTTCCATCAAATTTCACCCTCGAATATGTAGGTGTATCTGTGTATACATTTCCCAGACCATACAGAGTTGTATCTGGGCGTTGCTCTATATTCATGTACTGTGGGGTCAGTTTGTTTTGACTTTGAGACAGGGTCTTGCTTTATTTTTTTTTTTTAATTTTTATTTCTTTTACCTTTTTGAGACAGGGTCTTGCTATGCAGTTCAAGCTGGCCTTGAAATCCTTTGTATCCCAGGCTGGCCTTGAGCTCTTGGCAATCTTCCTGCCTCAGCCTCCCATGTGCTGGGATTACAGGTGTGTGCCATCACCCCCAGTCAAGGTCTTGCTTTATAGTCTGGGCTGGACTTGAACTCAGTATGTACCCCAGGTTGGCCTCTAACTCATGGCAAGCCTCCTGCCTCAGCCTCCCCAATGCTGGGATTACACCACGACAGGCAGGTCAGTGGCAAATGTTACAGTGTACACCAAGACACCTGTGTTCACATCATCAGTTCTTTGAAACTATATTTGGATGGGCAAGCTATAAAAAGCTTCTGTACTGCATGACCTTTCAGGCAGGAGTTAGATCAAATGCTCAAGTTGCTGCTGCCTGTTGCCGAGTGGAAAACAGCAGAAAGCCCTCAGTTCAGCTATCTATTGGGTTTTTGTTTTGCTTCACTTTATTTCCTTTTGTTTTGCCTTAAGAAGATGAACACAGAAACTACGACCCTGGTGTCCCTGACGGAGGCGATGAAAAGGTTGCTAAGGGCTCCGGGGAGGGTGCAAGCGTGGGGCCGCTCCTTAGAGAAGATGGGGCAGAGACGAGCATGGAAGACAGGCAGGCTCATCAGATCATGTCTTAAGGTCGCTTAGCTCTTCAGATTAAAAAAAAGTAAATTAATAATAAAATTAATAAAAAAAAGAAAACTTAATAATAATTAATAATAATTGCTTCCCATTGCTATCATTTCACTCGTAGGCCTGTACCAAATGCTAGATTTACAAAAATAAGCAGTACCAACCGATCAGGGAGAGAGAACTGAGGAGTTTCCCGATTCCTTGTTGGCTTGTTGGCCAACATTCAGTAAAAGCCCTTTCCTTTAGGGGAAAAGATAAAGACAGTAAGACGTGCCTTCTGCCCTCAGCTTGTAGGGATGATAGAATTATTGAAAAATATAATTTGCAGGGGGAGTGGAATTTAGATAGGGTCTTTCTTCATAGCCCTGCCTGGCCTCAAACTCTTTTTTTCTTTTTTGGTTTTGGTTTTTTTCCCGGTACCAGGAATTGAACTCACAACCTTGCGCTTGCCAGGCAGGCGCTGTGCCACTGAGCTAAATCCCCAGCCCCTGGCCTCAAACTCTTGATCCTCCTGCCTCAGCCTCCCAAATGCTGAGATTATAGGTCTGTGTCACCATACCCAGCTTAAAAAATATAATTTAATGCATGCAACCTTATATTGATGATGTTCCTAAAGAACTAAAAAATGTGAAGGGAGGATAATCAATCCTGTCTTTGACACTAGAAAAAGGACTCTTCACAGAGGGACATTTAAGCTGGATCCTAAAATGTGAGTGGTGTTTATGAGAAAATACAAGATGGGAGGGAATTCTAGGCTGAGGGAACGGTACAGGGAAGCTACATATTACTGACTAGGATGTGTTAGAGGATGGGCAGAAATGAAGGCTAGGCTACGGAAGAAAGGCTGTTTCCCCCTAGGGAGTTCCAGTTTGTCACCCCCCCCCACCAGGAATCGAACTCACGACCTTGCACTTGCCAGGCAGGCACTGTGCCGCTGAGCTAAGTCCCCAGCTCCTTGGGAGTTCCAGTTTGGTTAGGAAGATTCCACTGGACAAGTCAGGGTGGTAAAAAAAAAAAAGGGATATAACCAGGCACAGTGGTACACGCCTGTAAACCCAGATCTCAGGAGGCTGAGGCAGGAGAATCGCCACAAATTTGAGACCAGCCTAGACTATACTGTTGGTTCAAAGCCAGCCTGGGCTAATAGCAAGAACCTTTCTCTACAATCCCAAACCTAAAGTAAAGGAATGTCATCTGTCGTGTTACATGCCTGTGACTGTACTTTAGAAGATCACACGTGCAGGATGGATTGGAAGCTGAAGCAAGGGCACAGTGACACTACTGTGATTGGAAGCCCAGGCAGAAGATGGCGAGGCACTGGTTTAGTGGACATGAAGAGGAGGGGATGGGTTAGACAGAGGTTAACTGAGGCGGGCTGTGGGAGAAGGCAAGGAGCTCTGCAGGTAGAAAGGACTGAGAAAGCAGTGGAAGCCAGACCTGGCCGCACAAGCCTGTGATCCCTGCTGCTGAGACACAAAGATCAGGCGTTTAAGCCCAGCTGGGGCAATTTAGCAAGACTGTTTCAAATAAAACCTAAAAGAAGGGCTGGGGATGTTGGTCAGTGGGAGAGTGCTACACACACGCACGCACACACACACAAATACACACACAAATGCACACACAGGCAGAGGAATTTGAGTTGATCCTTGAAAGAAGGATAGGATCTGGACACAGAACAGGATAGAGAACAACAGCAAAAAAAAGAATAGGGTAGAGAAAGCCACCTTATTAGCTGGGTATGGTGGCGCACACCTGTAACCCCAGCACTAGGGAGGCTGAAGCAGGAGGAATGCTGCAAATTTGAGGCCAGCCTGGGTTACATAGTGAGATCACAAGTAGCCTGAACTAGACAGTGAGACCCTGTCTCAAAAAACAAAAACAAAACAAAACAAAAAGCAACTTTATTATACACTGGTCCCAGGGCTCGCTGGGAATATGACATCAAATCTCAATTTTTTTTTTTTTGTCTTTTTGACACAGGGTCTCGCTCTACAGTTCAGGCTGAACTTCAACTCATTATGTGGCCCAGGCTGGCCTCAAACTCACAACAATCCTCCTGCCTCAGCCTCCCGAGTGCTGGGATTACAGGTGTGTGCCACCACACCTGGCTCTAGATCTCAATCATTGTGAGACTCAAATTCTGTCTGTAAAATAGTAAAAAATGACTGTTTCGCATCTTATGGTTGTAGGGATTAAAGTAATGTTTGGATAAAATACTCTTTAGTAGTGCTACATACCTGTAATTTCAGCACTTGGGAGGCTGAGGCAGGAGGATTGTGAGTTCGAGGCCAGCCTGAGGGACACAATGAGATCCTGTCTCAAAAAACAAAAGAAAGGTGCCAGGGAGATAGCACCAGGTCCTGAGTTTGATGCCCAGTACTAAAAAACAAAACAAAAAAAAGCAAAAACCCCAAAAAGTGAAAAGAAAAGACCAACCTCTTTAAAGTATAAAATATAACTACAAAGACAAGATATGGTCAGTAACTGAAGTTATTAGACATTTCAAAAGTCCAACCATACAAGGAATGAAAAAGCAAGGATGAGGGCCAGAGAGACTGGCAGATGCATGCAACATCTACTCATAATTTGATATTTAAGTATTTAGGGACTGGACGTGTAGTTGGGGGTGAGTGCAAGGCCCTCTGTTTGATCACCAGCACTGCAAAGAACAAAGAAACAAAACCCAACTTTGAGCTGGGCATGGTGGCTCACACCTGTAATCCCAGCACTCAGGAGGCTGAGGCAGGAGGATCGCTGAGAGTTCGAGACTAGCCTGGGCTACAAAGTAAGCTCAAGGCCAGCCTGAACTGCATACGGAGACCCAGCCTCAAAAAGACAAACAAAACAAAACAAAACAAAACAAAAACCAAATTTGTAGCGGTTGTAAATGTTCTTAGAGTCTTAGGTTAAAACAAAAATCTTAGTTTTGTTCTCTGAGCTAACCTTGATGATTCTGTCCTATAGAGTAGACCAAAAACTCCAAGCTTTAGAAGCACAATTCAAAGAACTGGACATCACCAAGGATAATCTGACCCAGAAATTTGAAAACCATAGCAAGACTCTGACAAGCCAAGCTGCGCAAGATGAGCTGTGGACGGCGGTTCTGGCACTCAAGTGAGTACTGCCTGGGAGATCAGTAGGATTGTGTGGTTCTGTAAGAGCTTCCCGTGTTCACTGCAAAAGGGAACCAAAGCCAAACCCATCCCCATAAGCCCATCCTTAACCGCAGCACTCAGGGAGCTGAGACAGGAGGATTGCTGGGAATTCAAGGCCAGGCTGAGCTACATTGAGAAACCATGTCTCCAAAAACTAAAACAAACCATCTCTCCAAAAGCTAAATACCAGTTGGATCTTCCAGTGGGTCTGTACCGAGTGGGCTGTCCTAGTGTAGTGCAATTTATATTTGCACGGTTTTCCACGGCTTACGCAGCTCTCCGTTTCTTGTAGATTCACGTCAATGGAATTGAATATTTTGTACAGCTACGTCATCGAAGTACTTATCTGCTTGCACACTCGTGTGCTTGAGAAGCTGCCAGACCTGGCAAGAGGTCTGCCCACCTTCACCTCTGTCCTTCGACGGAAGGCCAAGAATCAGCATATCAGAGTGGCGTGGGAAGCGGTCCTGGAGGAGAGCGGGCTGCGGGAGGGAGACATGGCGGCGCTCTGCGCCTTCTTCATCGCGCACGGCAGCGAGGCGGAGCACTACGCTGCCACAGCCAGACGCACGTACATTGGGGACGCCACGTTCATGATCACCAGCATGGTGAAAAACCAGGCCTTGCGCGAGGGTTTGCTGCGGGCTGTCCAGGTCATTGACAAGGGGAAAGCAGACAGGATGCCTGAAGCACGAACGTCCTCCCTAAAAGAGTTGCTGCCATCAGTGAGAAGTGAACCTGTCTAATCCCAGCACCGGGGACGCTGAGGCAGGAGGATCGCTGTGAGCTGGAGGCCAGCCGGGGTTATATAGCGAGACCCTCTCTCAAAAAAAGAAAATAAACAAACAAACAAAAACCTGTCATCCTATGACCCAGTGATTCAACATGTAGTAATTTATCTTGGATACTGAAAAAAAAGAAAGAAAGAAAAGAAAAAGGCACAATTTATTTACTATAGGCTAATTTTTATAGCAAAAGGCAAGGGGAGCATTAAATGAATTATGATAAATTGACAGACTACATATTTTTCTGTTCAGCCATATAAAAGAATGAAGCAAGCCAGGTGTGGTGGTGCATGCCTGTAATCCCAGCACCCAGGAGGCTGAGGCAGGAGGATCACTGTGAATTCGAGACTAGCCTGGGCTACAAAGTGAGCTCAAGGCCAGCCTGAACTGCATAGCGAGACCCTGTCTCAAAGAGACAAAAAAGAGAAAAAGAAAAACCCACACACACAAAAAAAACCTCAAAAAGCTCAGAGCTGCAGTTGTAGCTCAGTGCCAGAGCACACGCTTAGCATGTACAAGGTCTTAGGTTCAATCCCAACACCGTATACATACATATAATACAAAAAAACAAAAAACAAAAAACCCTAAAGTGGGGCCAGGGATATAGCTCAGCGGCACAAGTGCCTGCCTGGCAAACGCAAGGTCCTGAGTTCAATTGCTGGTACCAAAACAACCCCCAAAACAAACCAAAAAACATAAATAAAAAAAAAGCTAATGTATAAAATGTGAAACTATATTCTTGCTAACCTCCTTTGAGATTTAAGAATAAAACGTGCGCACTATCACATAAATGATATGCGTGACATAAATAGCTAAGCCCCGAACTGACCCCATCTTGAACTTTATTGCCCAAGTCTAAAGGGAAGGGAAGACAATCCTAAACCCACCTCTAGAAGGCAGGGCACGTGCTCACTCACTGAGTCATTTCTACTCTGGTTTCCGCTGCCACAACTTTCAAAGTTTCTGTGTGATCAACCTTTTTTTTTTGGAAACTAGGTCTCAAAATGTAGCCTAGGCTGGCCTCAAACTCGTGGCAATCTTTCTCCCTCCGCCTTCCCGGTGCTGGGTATAGGCACTTGTGTGCCACCACAGCCAGCTCAAAGATGTTTTTACAATGTTTTCTTTTTTTTTTGTTTTGTTTTTCCACTGTTAAATGAGCTGTTGAACCATGCTCAACAGATCAGACAAAGAGTTATTTATGCTGAAACTCCGGGCCATCCAGCCAAAACTATCTTTCAAAAAAAAAAGGGAAAAAAATCAGAAGAAAATAATAGCCAAACCCCAGTTAGGCCAGTTTTAGCCAGCAAAAGGAAATGCCCTGTGCTTTAACCTTTACAAGGAGAAAAACATGCTGGGCGTGGTGGTGCATGCCTGTAATCCCAGCACCTGGGAGGCTGAGGCAGGAGGATCCTTGTGAGTTTGAGGCCAGCCTGGGCTACAAAGTGAGCTCAAGTTCAGCCTGAACTGCATAGCGAGACCCTGTCTCAAAAAGACCAAAAACAAACAAAAAAAACCCCACAAAAACACATTTGCAAGCACCCATCTGCTATTGAGCTCAGCTCTCAGAACTTGATTCTAAAACTGCAAATAAAAGCTAATTAAGTTCTTTAAACAATTTATTGTGATTCTTTTTGTTGTTGTTGTTGTTGAGACAGGGTCTCCCTAAATTGCTAAACTGCCAAGTCGCCCGGGTTGGGTTGAACTTACAAGACTCTTGCTTCCGTCTCCCAGAGTGCTGTACTCACAGGCATGCACCACTATATCCAGGTTAGGTTTTTTTTCCTTTTGTTTGTTTGTTTTTGTCTTTTTGAGACAGGGTCTCATTATGCAGTTCAGGCTGGCCTTGAGCTCACTTTGTAGCCCAGGCTGGTCTCAAACTCACAAGGATCCTCCTGCCTCAGCCTCCCAAGTGCTGGGATTACAGGCATGTGCCACCATGCCCGGCTACATCACTTTTAATAGCTGCAAGTGTTATAGGCAGCTGAGTTAGACAGAAATATTATAGGCAGTGAGACAGGGCCCGGCCCACAAAGGAGCAAGTATGGAAGACAAGATACCTTGCAAATGGAGACATACTTGCTGCGGGCCAGACCTCAAGACAAAAGTTTAAATAGATCACCCACACACCTCCCTAGGGATGGACATCAGGGATTGATATTCTAAATAGGTAGCGATCACCTTGAAAAGTCACTGACTCAAACCCTCACAGGAAAAGCCCCTGTTCTGTATTCATACTCGCTTGCTACGTGACTCGCTTCCCCATTTGATCCCGATTTAGTCAATTTTACCTGAGCAATTCTTATTGGCTGACCATAGTTTTGTCCCACCTTATGCCCACTTTGTGATTTCCCATTTTTCCTCCCACCTTGGGCCCGTCTCCCCTCCTGGTTTTGCTCTATAAAAATCCTTGGAAAAGACAGGTTCCCTGGGCAACTCACTGGGGCCCCCATTCTGTGCCTCTCTTGCTTTCTTTCCCCCAATAAATATATTCTGCTCTTAAGCTCTGTTGTTCCTAAAATTCATTCTTTGATTTTAGAGAACACAAACTCTGCCCAGATATCATTAAGATTGGCAGTTTTTTCCCCCTATTTCAGAAGGACTTTTAGAAAAACAAACACAAAAAGCCAGTGCGAACACACAGACACATTGTACTGTAAGGAAAAATTGTGTCTTTAAATTTTACAGCACCCCCAAGTTACACATTTTATCGCAGCATCTCCTGTGGAGCTTATCAAGGAGATGCTCTCTCTGTTTCATTTTTTGCTGCCTTCCACCACCCTGAACTGTTGTGTGTCTCTGCCATGTGCCACCCTGCCTTGGAGCCAGCTGATTATGGACTGAAACCTCTACAAACTGTGAGGTAAATAAACCTTTTCTCCTGTTTTAAAAAAAAGATATCATGGAGAAATTCTGGTAATTTATTTACATTGGCTCAGAAATTTGTACCATTGAGGGAAACAATCAAGAGTTTGGTTAGCAACAATTCGTTCAAGTGACAGCCCTTGGTGGGAAGCAGGAAAGAAACATCATAATGAAGCCTACGATGCAAATACGAAGTTCAAGAGCAGCAATGGCTGGGCGAGGTGCTGCACGCCTGTGATCTCAGCACTAAGGAGGCTGAGGCAGAAGGATCTTTGCAGGTTTTAGACCAGCCTGGGCTACAAAGGGAGCTCAAGGCCAGCCCGAACTGCATATCGAGACCCTGTCTCAAAAAAAAAAAAAAAAAAAAGAGCAGCAATGATTTCTGTGAGCAAGTACACAGCTTTGTACCAAATATACTATGACAGTCTTTACAGTAGATATAAAACAAGTTCTAGAAAGAAACAAATATTCAATCTGTTACTACTGTCTAAAAATTGCTGAAATGTGTACAGATAAAAATGGTGTTTTATTGTATAATCAACATGGCAGTCTACAAATTATATATGGTACCAGGAATTGAAGTCAGGACCTTGCACTTGTCAGGCAGGCGCTTTACAAATTATATATGGTAACTTGCGACTTTCTTTTTTTTTTTGAGATAGGGTCTCTAAGCAGTTCAGGTTGGCCTTAAACTCACTATGTAGCTTAGGTTGGCTTCGAGCTCACATCCATCCTCCTGCCTCAGCCTCCCAAGTGCTGGGATTACAGGCGTGCACCACCACACCCAGCTAATATGTGATATTTAACATTTGCCACAGAAAAATGCAACAGTACTAGGAAATCAACTCTTAACATGTCTCTGGTTGAAATTAAGAACTTTAAAGCCTCTGAAATCAGGAATCTCGGGAGAAACCTGGGCCCCACTCAGGCTGAACCCAGTGCAGCTGCGACAGTGAGGCGGGGCGAGGGTGGGGCGGGCAGCGAGGCGCGCACAGGCACCGGAAGTCCAGCCCAGCCATACGCGGGATGCTACCGCGGTTGGGCGATTTTCTGGGCGGGAGGGAGCGGTTGTGACGTCACTAACTCGGCAGCGAATAGGCTTCTGGGCTGGCTGGAGCGAGGTGACGGGCGGCGGGGCTCGGAGTCCCGGGAGACTGCGCGGCGCGCGGGAACGAGGGGACGCTGCAGCTGTCTAGCTGCCCCGCTGCAACTGCAGAACGGAAGTCCCCGGGCCGCGCCGCAGCGGACGGGAGCCGCGCAAGCGGTGAGCGGGAGGAGCAGGAGGAGCAGGAGGTGCCGCCCCGCCGCGGCCGCGCTCGCCCCCGCGAAGACGTTCCCTAGTTACTTGGCCTAAGAATGAAAACGGGCGGAAGCTCGCCGTGCCAGGTGTCACCGTCCGGCTGACCCTCCCGGCGCCTTGCGTCTGCGTGCCGAGCCGCTGCCCCTCTGCTCTCGCTGGCGTCGGCCCGGGAGCCTGCCCCGCCCCTGCCCTCGGCGCCGCGGATGCCGCCTCGTTAGCGCGCTAAGATGGCCGCGCCGCCCGCCGCCGTCCCCGCGCTGTCCGAGTGCCAGTGCCCGATCTGCATGGAGATCCTGGTGGAGCCGGTGACGCTGCCCTGCCGCCACACGCTCTGCAGCCCGTGCTTCCGCGCCACCGTCGAGAAGGCCAGCCTGTACTGCCCCTTCTGTCGCCGCCGCGTCTCGTCGTGGGCGCGCTACCACACGCGGAGAAATTCCCTGGTCAACCAGGAGCTGTGGGGCCTGATCCAGAAGCACTACCCCGCGGAGTGCGGGCGGAGGGCCGCCGGGCAGGAGGCGGAGCGCGCGGGTGAGTGGCCCCGGGGCTTCGCGAGGAGCCGCCGCGGTTCCCTTTTTAAAAAGGAGGGGGACTGTAATCCCAGCGGTCGGGAGGCTGAGGCAGGAGGATCGTTGCGAGTTCGAGACCAGCCTGGGCTACAAAGTGAGCGCAAGGCCAGCCTGAGCTACATAGCGAGACCCTGTCTCAGAAAGCCAAAAAAAAGGGGGGTGGGGTGGGTGGAACCCGACTAGTAATTTGTCTTTGTATTTTGGAAGTTTTATGGAACTTCTCCGCTTGTATCGACATCCAAGGCAGGATTTTTGTCTATAGTTAAACTGTCCGAGCTGTGCGCATAGGGTGCAGCGGCAGCAGAAGGAAACTGCTGAGTGCCGTATTCCTGTTTCTTTTACCTTCAGTTTTCTCTGACGTACAAATCTGTACATCTCCATTATATCTCTGTTTTGTATTTTGTTTTCTTAAGCATACGGCAAACCCAGAATAGCTCCCCCCCACCCCGTACTGGAGAGTGACCCGAGGACCTTTGCACTAAGCTACATCCCAGCCCCCCTATTTTTATTTTCATGTTTCTGATTTCGAGACAGAGTCTCACTAGTAGTCCACTCTTGGCTCCAACTGGGAGCTCTCCTGCTTCAGCCTCTCGGAGTGCTGGGATTACAGATATGCGTCACTGTCCTTGGCTCCAGTTCCACTTAGTGCAGTCATTTTTAGCGAAAGCCCTTCATCATGTAGAGCTCGCCTCAACTAACGTAAGCAGTAAACTATTCAGTGCTTCCTGTGCTGTGGTGCATCTGCCGTTTATTTATCTTACTATATGGTAAAAACTTTTAATAAACCTTTCCATTTTCAGCATTATTAAGCAATAGTTATAAAAAACAGCTTTATTGAAATACCACACCCTTCCCCAATTCAGAGTTCCATTAATGAGTTCTCACATACCAATTTAAAAAATGGATGAAATACACACACAAGTAAAATTTGTCATTTTAACCACGCGTGGGTGTGGGGGATGCTCTTAGGGCCACTTACAGCTTTAGGGGGTGCTAAGCAGGAGCTTCACTGTAGAGCCGCACAAACCCGTGCTCACTTGAACCATTTTGAAATACACAGTTCATTATCACCCCACTAACCATTTAGGTCTGAATTATTTCGCTTGGTCAGTACTTCATTTGGAGGTCTTTTTGTGGGCATAGTGTGTTACTTTTTTTTCTTTTTGGAGGCAGGGTCTCACTATGTAGCCATGTTGGCCTCGAGCCACGCCTGACTGGGTTGTTACATTTTGTTTATCCATTCATCCTTTAATAGACATTTGGGGTTTTTCTTTCTTTTGGTTATTTGAATACTGCTGGTGTGAATAGTCACATACAAATATTGTTTGGTTGTTTTCACTTCTTTTATATATAGTCATCTCTTGGTATCAAAGGGGAAGAACTCCAAGGTCTTCTTCAGATGCTAAAATCTCTAAAGGCCTGACTTCTTTATATAAAATACTGTAATTCTTGCTTAAAAACAAGCAGGGTAGCTGGGCGTGGTGGTGCACGCCTGTAATCCCAGCACTTGGAAGGCTGAGGCAGGAGGAGGATCATTGTGAGACCAGCCTGGGCTACAAAGTGAGCTCAAGGTCGGCCTGAACTGCATAGGGAGACCCTGTCTCAAAAAGACCAAAAAAAAAAGAAAGAAAAAAACCAGCAGGGGCTGGGGGGAGGGGAAGCAG